AAATATGAACCGCAAGGAGAGAATCAGTGAAAGTAAGAAAGAAGGAAAAGGGAAAGGCACAGAAGCTGTTCACACTAACCTGCGCAAACGTGTGCCAGCGTGAAGGCCCGGTGCGCAGAAGTAACAGAGCCCTCGTCTCATTCCGTTCCAGATATCGGAAATTGTATCAAAATTGGCTTCGGATGGATTGTTTCGTGGGAGGGAGCAGCCGAAATATTCACTTACAGACTCGTGTTTAAGCCCTTTAAGAATGTTCTTACTCATCTATCTAGAATTGTGGGCCCCTATGCTGAAACATACCCGACGCCACAGTATAGCTCAGTCGGTATAGCGGTCGGCTACGGCCTGGACAGCCGGCATTCAGTGCCCTGCAGGGGAAAGAAATGTTCTTCTATTCTACAGTGTCCAGACTAGCTCTGGGGCCCACGCAGCCCCCTAGAAATGGGTACCGGGCGCTTTGCGGCTGGGGCATGAAGCTTATCACTAACCTATATCTAGTGCAGAGTTAAATGGTGGAGCTATATCTCCACTCCCCAATACGGCATGGTGCTTAATGAACTAAGCACAAGGCCAGCTTTCTTCTTTATTTTTCGACCCTGCAGATGGAGCCGACATGTTCTTCCGAAACGTTGGTTGACTTTCAAGGGACTACACGGCGTTATATCCCAGAAAGTAGGAAGAACTTTTCATAAGAACCTCGCATCCTGCATGCTCTGGGAAAGATTCCGGTCTGTGTTTCCGTCCGTTAGTCTCTTGTTACCGTCTGAGATACTCAGGCTGATGAGACAACTTCCTGGCATTTCAAAGTGACATTCCAAACGTACCAATTAAAATCTAGGTTATAGTATTGTCACATGATTGAGTGACTATAGACGGGGTATGGATTGGTAATCGGCTTTATTGCACACTTATACGCACAAACCGTAACTACAAGTATTTTTTTTAAATACGCTTGGGGGGGGGGAGTTCAAGTGGGTCCACTCGGCACGGCGGCCACTGATTGGCCTATTGTAGCCTGCCCCGGGTGTTTGTGATGATGGAGANNGAAGATTGGCAGGGGAAACCGAAGTACTCGGAGAAAACCCGCCCCAGCGCCACATTATCCACCACGAACCCCACTTGACCGGACCCGGGATCGAACCCGGGCCGCCGCGGTGGGAAGCCAGCGACTAATCGTGACTACAAGTAAGTACAGCGCTATTGCTAATTCACACATTCCGCAATTCACTACAGTCGTCTGGTAACGGCTTCCAACGCCGGACGTTCCCATTCCTCTGGGTTCCTGAACTGTCGCCGTGCCTCAGCTACCAGCTTCTCACAGCAATAGCTCACAAGGACTTGACGGCAGAAGGTATCCAACTAACTAACTAACTGGCCGCGCCGTAGCTCAAGCGGTTAGTCGCTGGCTTCCCACCGCGGCGGCCCAGGTTCGATCCCCAGTCTGGTCAAGTGGGATTTGTGGTGGACAAAGTGGCGCTGGGGCAGGTTTTGTCCGAGTACTTCGGTTTTCCCTGCCAATCTTCATTCCACCAATTACTCTACAATCACCCTCACCTATCATCTGGGGCTGGTACAATAGGCCAGAAGTGGCCGCAGTACAAGGGACTTAGTCCCACCCCACTAGCAGTAAAAAACTAACTCATCAACTAACTCATTCCACTCACTAACACTGTCAAAGTGTTAAATCTGCACAACATAGGAACGATTTGAACTGGGAAACCTTGACACAGCGCAGGCAGATAGCTCGCATATGCGCTCTCTTTAACGCATACGCGGGAGAACAGGCTTGGAAGAGTATTGGTGATAGATTACGAAGGCCATGCTATCTGAGCAGGGGCGATCATGATATGAAAATTAGGAGCAGAAAGCAAAAGACAGGATATCGGAAAATATTCCTTTGCAAATAGGACCATCCAGCTCTGGAAGCAACTGCCTGCAGATGCTTAGGGACTGTCTCCTGCAAACCAAGCAAAATTGGAAAAGGGTTAGGAAAGTGATAAATGAGGCGAAGTGAAGGTTGGGTGGAAATCAGCAAAAAAATTGCAGTAAAGTGAAGAGAAGTGAAGTGAAGTGAAGTGGAGATGAGGTGAAGTGGAGATGAGGTGAAGTGAAGTGAAGTGAAGTGAAGTGAAGTGAAGTGAAAAGTGCTAAGGATGGGAGGATTGCGTAAGTGTAGTAAAGCGAAATGAAGGGAAATGAGAACACGGCATTATGCATTCATTGCCGTTAGTTTATTGTCTGGTATGTTTCACTCTTCTTTTGTTTGAACGTGTTTGTGTGCGCTATTTGTCTGTTGTTTTATTGTAGTACTAGTGCCACCGGGTGAAAACCCATTTGCAATTAAATAATAATAATAATAATAATAAATAAAATTCAAAACCAAATTTATGTTACGGCAGACGAACAGTCTGTCAAGCACCCATCTGGGACCCAAGACCAGATTTTTATTATTGTCAGTTACGGGTTTGTTGACGTGGGGTGCCCTCCGTGATGAGAGGACCGGTCTGTCATATACAATTACTTGCTTATTTTCTATTTTTATCTTTACTGTTTAGGGACACCCGTTATTTTGGGGTTTTATATGTCTGAAGGATATAATTGTTTGCTTGAGTACAAGGTACCGTTACGTATGTAGCCCGCGACACACACTGACCCAGGCCACAGGTACAAACATTGATGCCATATCTGACCCTGTCGCTCACGTAGCCTCTGTAGAGAGTGGAGAACGTACTTCATAACCGTCTCTGAGACTTTCCTCATTCTGCTCTTCTTGTCACTTATGCGTCTTCTTCCAAAACAACAATTACTTTGTAGACTAACATAATTGATAATAGACACAAAAATGAATCAGATTTCTGAGGATTTTCAATACCAGAGTTGTGAATAAATTTCGTCTCTCTCCCAAACCAGCGGCAAATACCGCCCATGCAGATCTATTTCGCTCAGTGTCCTAAAATTCATGTGTAAGACTTTCAGTGGGTTCCTCAATATGTAATGAATTATGAAGCTGAAAATAAATACATAAATATATAAAAGTTCACTCGGCCGTCGACATACGACCGACTGACAGGTCGTAAGTCGATCTGGTCGTATGTCGGCCCTATATTTATTAACAGAATTTTTTAATCTTCCTAATCTTTTTATCGTCTTTATAATTTATTTTTAAACACTTTTACATTTTAATCATCTTTTATTTTTCATTTTTTGTGGTCGTAAGTTGACGACCAAGTATAACAATTGAGGATAAAATGCATGTGATCTAAGTGTAATTTCTTCTATCTTGTTTCTTATGGTCCGTCATTTCCTCTTTTTTGAAGGGAGAACAGGATTTCGAGGTATATGAAGTGATTTACTAAAGGTGAGTTGAATAAATGGAGAAAACCACGTAAAGAGTAACTTTAGTGTAGGTGCGCATGTAGGATGAAGCTGTAACCTCGGAACAATATTTTGACGATAAACCGAACGCCCGAAGGTTACCCTGGGTGAAGGTGTCTCATGTAAAAGGTACAGTTGTCCCTGTGCTTAACTAATTAAGCGCGACGTCATGAAGGCGTATGGGGGAGTCNACCTGATTGGTCCTGACCGCTTTATCCCCGGGGATAGAACCCCCGGTACACATTGGATGGGAGGTTGGGTGGACCCCGGAGCCGGTCTGAACGACGTGGAGAAGAGAAAATTCTTGACTCTACCGGGACTCGAACTCCGACCACTCGATCGTCCAGCTGGTAGCCAGTTAAGTTTCTCCTGTACCCATAAAATATTCTGGGTGAGCCCTAAGAAATGACCTGGATAATTGGAGTTGATGTTGACCTTACGCCACGCAACTCATGTGTACAGGAGTACAACGTAAATCTCCTTACATCCATGACGTCAGTGAATAGAGGCAGATTGCATTCTGTATTTAGCAGTGTATTGATGGACTCCGACTGGGTCTGGAAATAGCGGCAAGAAGCAAAATCCCAGTCTCTGGCGAGAATCGAGCTCCGTCTCGCCAGCCCCTAGCAATATCAAACTTTATAGAGAAATAGGATTGGTTGGTATGGATTGGATTCATCTCGCTAATAGTATGAATCAGTCGAGGACTTTCATGAACACGGTAATGAACCTTCGGGTACCATACAATGCTGGGAAGTTCTCTAGTAGCTGGGCGACAGGCAGTTTCTCAAGGAAGACTCTGCTCCATGCAGTTAATTTTACCTGCTGTAACTAACAATTGGCCGCGCCATAACTCAAGCGGTTAGTCGCTGGCTTCCCATCGCGGCGGCCCGGGTTGGATTCCGGGTCTGGTCAAGTGGGATATGTATTTTGTTTTCCAAACACACATTTTGTGATTCTGTACCCTATAACTTACAATATTTTATTGCAAGTACAAATCTGATATTGCAAAATTAATCATATCACGCATATTGTTCTGCATTAACTCAGAAATTAAATTCTCTTTTGTTTTACAAAAACGTTAATATATATGTAAAATATTTCTTATATTTTTTCTTCAGTCCAGTATGTTTCGCCAAAGCTTCAGACTTCTTCATGAAATCCTCAGTCATTACATTCATAACACAACTAGTTTTTGTTCTTCGCCGATGTGAATTATCCAAAAATTATTAAATTCTCCAATTTCATTAATTGTTCTATTGTTTTATTTTGTAATTACAATAGCTGTTGTTTACTTTGTTTGTTTCTTACTTTTAAAGAACATCAGTATATAGTGAAGTATGAATCACATTATATACTGATTTCGGTTTCTCTTACATGGTGATCTGTTTTTGGAACTCATAAAATTCGATTAAGAGCGATATTAACCAAACTTAAATTCGCTCGACCAATTTTATTACAGACTGTCCATATCAAATTTAATCAAAACCAGGTCTGAAGTTAGTGTGATGAGGGATGCGAAGTGAGGGACAGGTTCCCCTACATTTAGTTAATTTTGCGAACATCATGTAAATAACACCGCAGTATTGTTTGGAAATTCCTAAAAAAAATTGTTTTTTGCTTACCGCCAGAACAGCTTTGTACAGGAGTTGACGTTGCACAGCTGACGAGTAGAGTGGAGATTACTAAGGCCACAGGAAGCTTCATGTCAACAGGCTACTGCTGTTCCTCCTTGCGAACACCTCAGCTGTATCGCGTTAACTGCCTGGGACCAACCTGAGCACGAGTCCGCCTCTCTTCCTCTGACCCTACGTAATGCTCAGTTCAGGGCCACGTGTTCTAAAACAATGCTACAACATGGAACCAAAACATCGATAAAGGGATGAGAGTAATTTAAATTGAAAACATCCTATGCTTACACATCATAAAATTGAGGCAAAGAGCACGGTGGTTCTTAAGGAGAGATTTATATTGTCACATTCACGAACAGAAAAGTTCCACGTTACCAAATTGACGAGTCAGTAAACGGCCAAGAAATGTGCCCTGCGGCTCCGTATGCAAAAACAAAACATTTGCTGTGGTTGCATTTCTGAGATCTTATAAAATATGAAAAAAGAGGACTTTATTTTTGGTTAAGTGTGAGCCGTTTCAGCCGTTTTGTTTCATATCCTCACCGAAGTAACTAGTACCATCAAGCACAACATGTACTACTTATAAATTTTACTTACTGGATGAAGCATGTCTTTCTTGTGTCTGTCTATCACATTGGCCGCAAGGTCTAAGGCATGAAACGTCTTTACCCGCTCGGACGCTAGGATTTTGGGCCCGAATCCCACTCGAGGCATGTCTGTGTTTATTCTGTGTTTGTGTTGTTCTGTGCAAGTAGCTCTAGAGCAACAGAGAGACATACGTATTATAATCAGTAGTTCATTTTAGCTAATTAAAGGTAAAAAAGTTAAAGTTGTCCTTGTGCTTAACTAATTAAACGCTATGCCATGAAGTGCTATGGGAGAGTATATATATAGATCCACATTTTCTTGACCTCAGCACTAGTTGGAGGTGAGTGGTCAGCTCTACGCCCCTACATATTTACCCATGGGGTAAGAACACCCGGTACCCATTCGGTAGGAGGTTGGGTGGACCCCAGACTCCGGTCTGGACGACGTGGAGAAGAGAAAATTCTTGAGCCTAACGGAACTCGAACTCCGACCCCTCTATCTTCAAGCCCCTAGACAGTCGCTATACTGACTGAGCTATCCCGGCTCTTGTCAAACACGAATATTCTTTCTCATTATTTCGATCCTTGCTGCAACCGACGAAGCGCTTCTTTTCCTGTTGATTTACCATCAATATTAGGTGGGTCCCTGTCACCACTGCATGGCGCGTCTTCAGGTTGCGGATGGAGGACACGCCCTCCAGGGTTGGAGGGTAACTGCGAATATATTGAATAAGCAGTCGCGGATAGCCGAGAAGGGGTGGTCCTCCAGCTTTTGGGTTGGGAGTAGGGCTTACAACTCCACACCTAAAAAATAAACTTATCACGAAAAATCAGAAAAGGACTCGGACCTAAACAGAAACCTTGGATAAACAACCTAAGCGAAAGAAAATGGATATGAGATTTGGTACTTGAAATATTAGAAGTATGTATAGGGCAGGTTCGCTCGGGGCACTGACGGAAGGAATGTAAAATTACAATTAGCATTTAATGGGGGTACAAGAGCTCAGATGGGACGGAGGTGGCACCGCACCAGCAGGCGAATATGCATTTCTCTATGGAAAGGGGAATGAAAATCATGAATTAGGTAGAGGTTTTTTCGTAAATAAGAGAATCGTATCAGCAGTTAAGAGGGTAGAGTTCGTTAGTGATTATCATACATAATACTGAGAGGTAGCTGGTCTGGTATCATTGTTATGAATGTTCATGCCCCAACAGAAGATAAAATTGATGATATAAAGGACAGGTTCTACGAAGAACAAAACATGTCTTTGATAAATTCTCGAAGTACCCTATGAAAATTTTGTTAGGAGACCTCAGTGCCAAAGTAGGGAATGAAGACATTTGCAAACCAACGATTGAGAGTGAGAGTTTACACGAGAAGTAAACTTTGCCACATCAGAAAATCTTACTGTCAAAAGTACAAAGTTTCCACGTCGTAACATTCATAAATTTACTTTGAGATCTCCTGATGGGAAGACACACAACCAAACTGACCACATTTTGATAGACAGGAGACGGCACTCAAGTACACTTGATGTCCGATCATTCAGGGCAGCAGATTGTGATACTGACCACTACCTGGTGGTGGCAAAGGTTAGGGAGAGACTGGCAGTGAGCAAACAAACAACGCACAGAGTTCATATGGAGAGGTTCAATCTCAAGAAATTAAATGAGGTAGAGGGTAAAGTGCAGTATCGTGTTGATGTCTCAAATGGCTTCGCGACTTTTGAAAGCTTGGACACTGAGGTGGATGTTAGTGAAGCATGGGAAACTATTAGAGAGAATATAAAAATTTCCGCCCAGGAGAGTCTAGGTTATTATGAACCGAAGAAGCATAAGCCATGGTTCGATGAAGGACGCTCAAAATTACTAGACCAAAGAAAGCAGACCAAATTGCAGTGGTTACAGGATCCAAGCGACTTAATGGGGATAATCTGAACAATATAAGACGTGAAACCAGCAGGCATTTCGGGAATAGAAAGAAGGAATATCCGAAAGACAAAATTGATGAGCTTGCAACGTACAGTAATAACAAGAACATTACAGACCTGTATAGAGGAATAAATGACTTTCAGAGGGGTTACCAACCTAAAGGTAACTTAGTGAAGGATGAGAATGGTGATCTGCTTGCAGATTCCCGCAACATTTTGAATGGGTGGAAGTACTACTTCTCTCAGTTATTGAATGTAGAAAGGATCAGTGATGTTAGGCAGATAAAAAATACATAAAGGTGAGCCATTAGTACCTGATCCTAGCCCTTTTGAGGTTGAAATTGATGTTGTAAATTTGAAAAGATATAAATTGACAGGTAGTGATCAAATTCAGGCAGAACTGATTGAAGCAGTAGGTGAAATATTGCGTTCTAAGATCAATAGGTCAATTAATTTTATTTTTAATAAGGAAGAGTTGCCTGATCAGTGGAAAGAGTCTATTATTGTACCAGTTCACAAGAAGGTTGATAGAACTTACTGTAGTAATGATCAAGGGATATCACTGTTATCAACTTCTTACAAAATTTTATCCATATTCTCTCAAGGTTAAGTCCATACATAGATGAAATTATTGGTGATTATCAGTGTGGACTCCAACGTAACAGATCAACTACTGATTAGATCTTTTGCATTCGTCAAATATTGGAGAAAAATGGGAGTATAATGATACAGTACATCAGCTATTTGTACACTTCAAGAAAGCCTATGATTCAGTTACGAGGGAAGTATTGTACACTATTCTGATAGAGTTTTGGGTACCCATGACACTAGTCTGAATGATTAAAATGTGTATAAATAAACCTTATGGTAATGTCCATGTAGGTAAACATTTGTCCGATAATTTTCCTAACCAGAACGGTCTAAAAGAGGGAGATGCTTTATCGCCACTCCTTTTCAACTTTATTTTCGAATATGCCATTATGAAGGTCCGGAGAGACCAGGTGAGACTGGTATTAACTGAGACACATCAGCTGTTGGTCTATCCTGATGATGTGAATCTAGTGGGTTATAGTATGGCCGCGCCATAGCTCAAGCGGTTAGTCGCTGGCTTCCTACCGCGGCGGCCCGGGTTCGATCTCGGGGTCTGGTCAAGTGGGATTTGTGGTGGACAAAGTCGCGCTGGGCCCGGTTTTCTCCGAGTACTTCGCTTTCCTCTGCCAATCTTCATTCCACCAATTGCTCCACAATCACCCTCACCTATCATCTGGGGCTGGTACAATAGGCCAGAAGTGGCCATAGTGCAAGGGGCTTGGTCCCACCCCACTTGCAATAAAGAAGAAAAAAAGAAAATGGGTGATCATATAGATACCATAAGGAAAGACACGGTAACTTTAATTGAGGCTAGTGAGGAGGTTGGTTTAGAACAGTAGTTCTCAACATTTTTGAGCCCGCGGTCCAGTAAATTCTTTTTTCTATAAGAATATGTCCCTGTATAATTGATGCCCGAGGCCGGTACCCGTGGTTGAGAAAAATTGTTCTGGAAATAAACACAGGGAAAACAAAGTATTTGTCGCTGTCTCGTAAACATAATGCAGGGCACTATCGATACGTAAAGATAGGTAACAGATGTTTAGAAATTGTGGCATACTTCAGATATTCAGGAACGACTATAACAAATCAAAACCTGATTCAGGATGAAATTAATAGGAGATTGAACTAGGGCAATGCTTTCTACCGTTCAGTCCAAAACCGTTTGTCTTCTCGTCTGCTGTCTAAAAATACAAAAATTAGAATATATGAAACTATAATTTTGCCTGTGGTTCTGTATGGGTGTGAAACTTGGTCTCTGACATTAATGGAGAAACATAGACTGAGGGTGTTTGAGAACAATAAGCTGAGGAGAATATTTGGATCGAAGAGGGTTGAAGTGACAGGAGGTTGGAGAAAACTGCATAATGAGGAGCTTCATAACTTGTAATCTTCTCTAAATACAATTAGAATGCACAGTCTGAAGAGAATTAGATGGTCAGGACATGTAGCACGAATCGGAGAGGGGAGAAATGCATATAGGATATTGGTGGGAAAGCCAGAAGGAAAGAGACCAATGGGAAGACCTAGGCATGGGTGAATGTACAATATTAACATGGATCTTAGAGATATAGTTTGGGATGGTATAGATTGTAGTGGTCTGGCATAGGATAGGGACCAGTGTCGGGCTCTTGTGAACAAGGAAATAAACCTTCGGGTTCCATAAAACGCTGGAAAGTTCTTGAGTAGCTGCACAATTGGCGGCTTCTCAAGAAGGGCTCAGCTCCTCTGAGTGAGTGAGAGTTAGTTGATTTACTTTCTCAATGTGTAATAAAATACGGCCGCAGCATAAATCATTTTATATAAGTAAATATGTATATATGTATCTCTCTATCTCTATGGATGTACAGCCCTTGAACCTTGGTTGCTTTTTCACTTTCTTAATCATATACACATTTGGTGAGAGTCCTTGGACGGAGTATCAGCCAGTCGCAAGGCCGCTACCTGTACATAGAACAACACAAACACAGAACAAACGCACACACATATCAATGCCTTTAGTGTGATTCGAACTCACGACACTAGTGTTCAAGTGGGAGAGG